ATATTAAATACTAACCAATCAAACTCCATCAAACTAACAACCCACTTATTTGTAAGTAATGAAACTACTTGTAGTTTCAACACCAGAGCAATTTGAATTAAACTTAGAATACAGTTGTTCTCATTCTGGAACTAACTCGCATAAGCCAGTATACTCTAGATCTATTGAGCCTAGCAGAGACTAGTTAAACACCCTGAGACTAGTAGATATAAGAGTAAGATTAGGATCGGTATTAGACTAAGAAGTTGCACGAATCTATCCGGCCGAAAATAAGATAGCGTGACAAGCAAACGGTGTACTTTTTCTGAAATTACTCTATGAGTTAGAGATCCATCTTAACTCACCAGTTTTGTCTTGCCCCAGTTTTGTCAAAGTGACAATTTTAGACCACGATTACTTTTCTTTTCTAAAATTATCACAGGTAAACAGTTTTTTGATTTGAGCTGAACACATCACTAGATTTCAGAGCTAAAAGAAAAACCGCCAAAAATGGCTAAAAAAGCCAAAATAGGTCACCCCAGCACAATTATTCCGTCACTTTCTTCGAAAGTCGGACAATATGCGGCTCTTTTCCAGTTTCCCACCCCTCGTAAGCTGTTCAAAAATGTTCACACGACATTTTGCATGTAAAAAATTTGTTCACCTGTTCACGCTGACACGTTTTGATGCAGTTTACAACAGGAAAAGTAAGTTTAACTGGAGTTTCAACTATTGAATTTCAGAAAAAACCAAAATGGGGATGGAAAAGAGCCCAATATGCATACATTGGCGGCTAATTTGATCCTATCGTTGCCGTTTCAATCAAATATGGTACTATCGTGTACTTTGGCTCCTCGATGGGTGCCATCAAAATATTTCGGTTCTTTTGCATTTCCACTATCAATTTTGTTTTTTAGAACTTACTTTAAGGTCATCATAATTCAATGAAACTTGGCGTCATGAAAAAACTAACAATTGCGAACAGATTTTTTTCACACCTACATTGTAATATTGCAGGTTTGGCCATAATAACACGTAAGTTAACTATGAAAATAGAAATTTTGAAAAATTCGAAGAAAAATTCGAATTGGCAAAGTATTAATGTTTCATTTTTATTTGTTATTGGTTTAACTATGCTCTCTATTTCATAATATTGTGAAAATATCAACTATGTTAGGGGGCTGGGGGGGGGGGGGGTGAACGAAAACTTCAATATGACTAAGTAATCCAACTTCTTCCGAATCTCTCATTCATAGCCTCCCTAGCTAAATATAGACCCCAATAATCGTGTGGTGGGGCTATCTTAATTTCTAGGCTGGGGAACTGTAATGGGAAATGCCCCTTCTTTTGATTTGTTACCACTTTCTTCCCACCTTTCAAATTTTTTAATTACATTGTTGTTAAATGTGTTTTTATGGCTAAATGCGTGACCTATGAATAACAAATCTGTCATTACGAGGCCAAACTGTGCATTCTCTGCATTGTATGCGGAATCCGCAACAGGCAAAAATCAGATTTGTCGCGGAATCCGCAACATTGCTACTTTTCTTCGATCTTCTATGCTGTTTGAGATTCCACAAACAAATACCTAAATCACTGTACCGCTCAAAATTGCTCGTAAAATAGGCGAATTTGCGGAATCCGCAACTGTATTTGCGGAATCCAGAACAGTTTGTGGAATCCACAAACAAATGATTAAACAATTGTATCGTTAAATTGAGCTGTTGCGGAATCCGGAACTGTAAGTGGAATCCGCAAATTGTAAGTGGAATCCGCAAATTGTAAGTGGAATCCGCATTTTGCTTGCGGATTCCTTTTACATACCTTTATATGTGTAGTAGCCTTTAAAATTATATCTTTTAAATACATGATTTGATTTCACTAGAATAGAAATTTACTAGAATAGATCAGTGTTTGGGATTAAAGGAATCCCAATTACTGACCAGTATTTGGGATCGATGAAATCCCAAATACTGAACTAATTCGACAATTTGCTATGCGTTGGGTTTCTAATCACTCCCAACCTAATGACTCCAAATAATGTATATATTTCATATTTATTCCACATTATTCCAGTTGACCAGTATTTGGGATCGATGGAATCCCAAATACTGACCTAATTTGGCGATATGCTGTTTGTTGTGCTTCCATTCACTCTCAAGCCAATTACTACAATTACTGCATTTATTCGGCGTTATGCTTCCAAAATCAGTATTTTGGGTTAACGCAATCCCAAATACTGACCTAATTTGTTCATACACTAATTTGTTCCATACACTCTCATCTCAATTACTCCAAATATTGAAATTGCTCGTGGTTGTGCTTCCAAAATACTAAAAGATGACATCCACCGACTTAAGTAGCCAATGTTTTAAGACTTGTTCGTGGATTCCGCTGACAATGGTTAAGTCTTTGCTTTTAAATTCCGCATTGCCAGAGATAAGAATTCCAGCTACGCTTTTAATTGTTCATATGCAATTTCAGTATTGAACGAAGTTCGGAATCCACTTACAGTTTGCGGAATCCACTTACATTTGCTGATTCCGCTTACTTTTTGCGGAATCCACTTACAGTTGCGGAATCCAGAACAACAAGCTATATTTGTTTGTTGCAGAATCCGCAAAAAAAAACAAATATGCCGACAAAATTTACGTTACAGGTATATGTATGCGGAATCCACTGAAATTTTGTTTGTGGAATCCACTTACATTTTGGAACATATTTAAAGACTTGTCTCTGTAATCCAGGAACATACAGAAACAAAATTGCGCTCCTATCCAGTGCACAGTTTGGCCTTGTAATGGTTCTCACAATTTTTAGTTTGGGCTCTTTTTCCTTCTTCAAAACATGAACATTAATTCTCCTTTTCCCCCACGTCAATTGAGCATCAATTTTATGGTTTAAAGAGTGGTACAAGGTTGATTATGAAGAGTGAAAGTGTTTGCCATGGCCTAATTAGTCCGAATGTCAATGTTCAAAACGATTACATGTCAATTCGCCCCAAGTCAGCTTGTCCCAGCCCAACTTGTCCGATTCCAACTTGCCCCAGATGACAACTTGTCCAATGCCATCTTGTCCCAGATAATAAAAAAAGAAACTTGCCCCAGATTCTTTGATATCCTCGTAGAAAATAATGTCGGCATAGAGATGAAAGATATTTTTGTTGAACAATTAAGCTTGAAACAAAATGTGGAATCATTAAAACATGTGCTGAATCAAAATGAGTTCAAAGCATGCATGAACAAAATGAAAGCGGCGAAACTTCAATGCATTTTTCATGTCGAGTTAAACATTTCAGTAGATTGATTGCTGATAATGTAAGCTCCTATAGCTTAGTTAAAAGTGCACAACACTTTTATTCAAGAAGTCAAGAGTTCAAAATTTGAAGAAATCAAAAAATTTTAGTGTGAAATTGATGAAATTGAAAACCGCAGGTACTGCCTCGCCCCTAAAACCCCCCTATTCTGGGACCAAGTTCTGTTTCTGGCGGTTAAGAGTTCTGTTTCTTGCTGCACGACTGGGCAAGGATAATTGAACTGCTTTCTTATCTGTTACTTCATGGAGACAAGTGGCAATTATAGTTTTATTGACAGGTACAATTTGCTGCCTGGCCTCTCTTTTCATTTGATGCATGATCTGGTTTGCCTCATTTTTCCCAGGTCTAACATCGTGGCTGTGTTCTTTTTTTGTTTAAACGAGTTCATCTCCTGCTGTGACGGCGAGCATGCGGCATTAGTGTGAACTGTATCTTGCGCATCTCCAGTGCTCAGTAGTTTTTGTCGTTTGCTCTTTTTGTGAAGTCGTGTCCATCAATATTGAGCGTTCGTTTATTTCGTTGAGATATTCCACACGTAAGTTGACTCATGATATTTATGTTGGATTTTTAGGAACAAAATGGTAAACAATGAAGCAAAATGAAAGAATAGCCGAGTTTCTTTTTGTTTCAACGGCGCTAATTGTAGATTATTGTCAAATTTTGGTGTGTAATTACCAAAAATTATAGTTTTTAGACTCAGGTTCAATAATTTTTGGTTAGAGTCTTTTGTTACCTCAAAACGAGTCCTGTCTATATTAGCATTTGCTGGTCCTCAATTTGAACATCAAAAAATCAAGTAAAAGTGTTGAGTTTGGGACAAAACGGCATAGGATAAAATTTCTTGTGGGGCAAGTTGGCATAAGGCCAATTGACTCGGGGCAAATAGTCCTGACACCGTTCATAATAATCGGTTGGTGGGAACACTAATTTTACTTGCGAATATTTGCAAGTGGGAGGGAAAAAGGAAAAAGAGTCTTAGCTTGTTCACTATGCCAAGTTTCATTGCATTCTGACTATTTTAGGTAAATTTTGAAAACCGAAATTCAAAAATATGGGAGGGGGGTTTTGGGCTGTGGAAAAAAACTCTTGTATTTACCGGATAAACAGGATTCCCACACGATGTGGAATTGAGTCCACACATTTCTTTGGGTTCGAACACACTGTTGTCCAGTTGTCCAGTATCCAGAATTTAAAATTTAAATGTTCAAGCCCTTATTGAATGTTTTTAAGAAAAAGTTCATCCTATATCCAGTTCTTGAAAAGCCTTGAAACCTGGATATAATATGACTCACGAGATCGTGTACTATACAGATACAGGGTATTTTTTTTATTCACCCACAGCAAACTATATTCCCAAAATTTAAAATCACTGTTTGGGAGGCTTTTTTGTTTTTATGATGAGGTGTGTGTGTGTGTGTGTGTGTGTGTGGGTGGGGGCGAAATGGAAAGATTCCATTTAATATTGTCTTCTGTATTAATTGCATTCTGTAGTCTGTCACAAACTGCATTCTGTCAACATAACACATTTTTGACCTTGAAATGCGTTGTGTACTGACCAGAGGTCAAGTGAGCCCTCTGATAGCTCAATTAATATTTTTAAAGGTGTCTTTAGCCTGTAAGTGCTGGTAAAGACAACTAAAACCGAAATTCAAAATGTGGGGGGGGGGGGGGGTGGGGGGCTGTGGAAAAGAACTCTTGTATTTACCGGATAAACAGGATCCCCGCACGATGTGGAAATGAGTCCACACATTTCTTTGGGTTCGAACACACTGTTGTCCAGTATCCAGAAGAAGGTCTCGTTCCACTCCCGGATGGCGAGAGTGCAGATGTGGGGAGGGTACATGTCAGCCACCTTGCAGAACTCAACAGCAATCTCGGCTGAAAAGTTAGCCGAGAAGCTTAGTCTTTTCCAGTTTCCCACCCCCCTCGTAAAATTACAACATAAAAAAGGTTTTTCAAAAATTGTTCATACCACCAGCGGGTTTAGTGGGGCGGGGTATGTGGACGCCTTTTTCCTTTCGGGATTCGACCCCCTGTCGACCCAAAGGGTCCCCCCTTGTAGTATTTTGAGATATCCATTTGTAGCTGACGGACCCTAAAATTGTTCTAAAGGCGCTATTGGCTCCAATATTTACCCTTTTTGAGGGGGAAACGCGCGACGAAAAAGCGCGAACTTTTGGTCAAAATTTTCCAAAAATTTTTTTTAAAAAAGTTTTTTTTTGGTCTGTTTTTTCAAAATTTTGCATGCCGCGCAGAAAATTTAGCCAAAACAGGGCCTTTTTAATGCTTTGAGAGAGCTTGGAGAATCAATTTAAACAAACTAAAAAAAATGCCTATTTAAACATTTCGAAAAAATTTTGAAAATACGCCCCCTTCCCTCGTGAAAATCCTAGATCCGCCCCTGGTTCATTTTTAAGGGGTAACTGTCATTTTTACGAAGTCGTATAAGAAGAAAAGTTGTGTTTGTAACTGAGCAATAAGCGCAAATATCAATTTTCATGACAAATGGACAGCAAGAAGAAAGATTATAACAGTTTTAAAAAATGCGGGTGTGGCGATGGGGGCGTGAAACGGTAGATTAGCCTGGTAAACTTATCATATCTTAATGGTAATGACACAGAAAACTCATTAGATCTAATTTACAATTGTTGCCCCCCCCCCCCCCTGTGGTTTCTACTTAAGAATTGCCACCCCTATAAATAAAAGCAGTAAATTAGCACTAGAACGTTATATTTAGAACTCGAAACTTGCTTCATTCTGATTGATCGAAAACTCTACCAACTTAATCTACTCAACAATTACCCCCTCCCCTATCTTGAAAGGGGGATAATTTTTAAGTAGATCCAAATCATTATTTGACTTTGACCTCTTAGTTGACATTTTACTGAACCAGTATGGATACCTATGGCGTCTTCCGTGAAGTTTTCATCCAGAAGTTCCGAAAGGTGTTCCGCGAACACCAGACAAACTTCGCAACTGATTGACAGCAATGAAAATGAAGATGACGTCATCAGTGACGTAACAGACACATTGCGCTTCTTCAGCAGCTGTTGCAGATTGATAACTTCTTGAGTGATGTTGTAAATTGGTTTGTTGACATTTTGAGAGACCTTGTTTTCGTTTTTTGCACTTTTTGTGGCTTTTTTGGTGGCCTGGACATCATTTTGACTGTTTTCATGGGATTCTGTCAATAAAATGGATGAATTATAACGCTTGCGATCAAAATGATGTTTCAAGAGTCAAAGTATGGAATCTAACTTTTAAATGTTCAAGCCCTTATTGAACGTTTTTAAGAAAAAGTTTTCATCCTACACCCAGTTCTTGAAACGCCTTGAAACCTGGATATAATATGACTCACGAGATCGTGTACTATACAGATACAGGGTATTTATTATAATCACCCACAGCAAACTATATTCCCAAAATTTAAAATCACTGTTTGGGAGGCTTTTTTGTTTTTATGCTGAGGTGTGTAGGTGTGGGTGTGTGTGTGTGTGGGTGGGGGCGAAATGGAAAGATTCCATTTATTATTGTCTTCTGTATTAATTGCATTCTGTAGTCTGTCACAAACTGCATTCTGCCAACATAACACACTTTTGACCTTGGAATGCGTGTTGTGTATGACTAGAGGTCAAGTGATCGGCCCTCTGATAGCTCAATTAATATTTTTAAAGGCGTCTTTATTCTGTAAGTGCTGGTAAAGACAACTGAAACAGCATCAGCGAACGATGTCAAAAAAAACTTTGAAGACAAAAAACATTGTAATGAATTGTCGAACAAAAAATCTTACCCGATACAATTTCCTCATTTCGGGAACTTAAATTGCGCTTGACAAAAGCTGCAGAAAGGTCAAACAGAAGTAAAGCACAAATCAGCAGTGAAAGATCAACGAAGATCGATTTCATCGTTATTCTTACGAAATGTTTCGAGATACTGAAGTTTTGCTCTCTCTGTAAGAGTTATTCATATAATAGCTTTATATGTGTCAGTCATACGATGTGTGTCTTATACAAATAGCTCAAATAGCTTTGTCGAGCTCTTAAAAGTTTTGAATCTGTTGATCATAGACCGAGTTGACCTACTCTTCGTCTTAACCGTATTTTAATGTTGATATAAGCAAGTCTCGTGTGCGAAAAACCGTTCAACTTTTGACTCATGATCAGAAGGAGCAACCATAATTGGGAATCAAATCAATAAATTATTCAATATTCAAAATGACAAAGTTTGATTATAACTTGATGTGATTTGCATATATGGTGTCTTTGTGTGTCACGTCACCATCATGCTTATAGTGTATACAGTATAGGATTACCATTATTCTATTTTACAAATAAACTCTTTAAGGGAGGCCCATATAGCCTATAGACTGACTTGATCTGATAAATTGGTTACTAACTTCGTAATGTTTATAAGTACTTATATTATCATCCTTTGATATAATAACAAGAACCTCATGTTTGGGGCAAATTCTACAAAAAGTTACAATATGCGCACGATGTTACCATGCAGTACCGGATTTGAAAGGACGCCCTCTCAGGGATTAGAATCCCTGACGACAAATAAAATGCCTCTTTCGTAGTTTTTTTAGACATACATTTGTGCCGGACTGGCCCTGAAATTTCTGAAGGTGCCTCGGGCGCCAATATATAACCATTTTGAAGGGGCAGCGCGCGTCGAAATTTTTTAGTCAAAAGTTTCCAAAAAGAGCCTTTTAAAAACATTCGCATGCGGGTAGAAATTTTGCTTTACAATGCAAAATTGTAAAGCAAATTTTCTACCCGCATGGGAGTGTTTTTAAAAGGCACTTTTTGGAAAGTTTCGACTAAAAATTGCGTTTTTCTTAGTCAAAATTTTTGGGAGAGCTCGGAAAATTAACTTGGGCGCTCTAAAAAAAGGTCAAACATTTTTTAAAAAGATTTTAAGTTCTTAGAGAAAATCTTAGAGCCGCCCTGGTTTCATGTAATGTACGAGAAACAAATCTAGACTTGGGTGCCGTTTCCGCTCCACCTGCATTTTTTAACATATATATATGTTAAAAAATGCAGGTGGAGCGGAAACGGCACCCAAGTCTAGATTTGTTTCTCGTACATTACATGGAACCAGGGCGGCTCTAAGATTTTCTCTAAGAACTTAAAATCTTTTTTAAAAATTTTTGACCTTTTTTTAGAGCGCCCAAGTTAATAAATAGATCATCATATATATATTCCTAAAATTTATGCAAGTACCCCGATTTTCATGCAAATCGGCATGTAGGTTTATACTCAATTACAATAGATCATGATATACTAATTTTCGATTTCTCGAGACGCAAGTGACACCACAGTTAAATATTCATGTTGCTTCAAATGTTATAAATAACTGATGAGCAGAAAGAAACGCGTCCAAACAAACCTGAAAAACCCAAATCTCTCTGAAAAGCAGCAAACTACCATATAATCAGTAATTTCTCCATTAGTTATATATTCATTAAAACTTTCAATTTTGTAAGGTTTTAATGAAGATTCCAATCATTCATAAAAGCAGTGAAAAAATATATCGAGTATAGCTGAATTTCAACTTGCTGTTTCGAGAAGCTTTCATATTTTTGCGTTGATTACAAAACCCTCAGAATTGAGTTTTTACCGAGCAAAAAAGTTGTTTAATTGCTTCTACTACATCAACAGTCGCATCTACAGTCAATCATTTGCTTTAAAAATCAAAAAATGGGGTACTTTTCGCAGAATTTATAGCAAGTAAAAAAAATTATTCATTTATTCATTTTTTTGCATTTTTACTAGAAATAATAGTTTGTTATTTTATGGTCCTGAATATACTGCAATCAATTTTTGTCCTTTTTTGTGTGAAGTTTTGGTTTTGGCTAAATTAGATATTCCAGCAACTAACCAACATCCAAACACGGTTATCTAAATCAGACCACAATTTGCAAAACGAAAAAACTATGGCTTTTAAGGCTTTATCGCTCAACCTTTCGGTGCCTGTGGTGATATTACTTGGTAGATTATGCATTTTTTTTCCTTTTGGTTACTTATTTTATGGAGAATCATAGATGAAGCATTGCCTCCAAGAAAATGAAACACGAAGGACTTTGTCTTGTGAAGCTAAGTATTTTAATGCATTAACAAAAAAAAACATTATATGACTTTGTCATATTATCAAATTTGACAATGTTTCTCATCTCTTTTTTTATTTCTTTCGCAGGTTAGAAAATGTTGTTAGTTTTGCTAGTATAACTTCTAGCTTGCAAATTAAGTTTCCATTTTTTTATCAGTTATAACATCATTAAAGTTTTCACTTTTGGCAAGATTTTATTCGAAATTTACTAGCAGACTTGAATCATTCATAAAAAGTAAAAATTTTACTTAGTATGCTTAAATTTCAACTCGTTGGTTTGTGATGCTTTTATATGTTTGTGTGCATAACAAAACCCTCAGAATTGTGCTTTGCGTCATCAGCGTCTACTGCAATTTCCATATAGCAGGACTCTGTATTGTATAATTGGTTCTTCTCGTGTTTTAAAAATATCTTCAGCATGATTTATCATTGAGAAACGTTGATGCATTTTGGCATCCAATTTTGGAAGTTTGTTTTTTACTTTTTCAATATGCAATTTGCAATTTGTCTAGACTATCTCCTCAAAAAATAATTTTTTCAGCTTTTTCCTATTGGCTCTCTTGAATGCTTTGATCAATTTTCATGTACCCTAAAATTAACAATATGTGATGTTATGCGTCTGATTAAATTACATTCATCTATCATGTTTTTGCCCCTCTTTGAGTAAAATTTTGTCTTTGGCTAAATCAGATCAACCAACAAGTAATCAAAAAACAAACACTGTTTCACAAGTTGGACCAAAATTTGCAAAACGACAAGATCAAACTTTCTAAGATTTCTTTGCTCAACCCTTCGAAGCCTGTGAAGATCTTACTTGGAAGATAATAATAGTTTTCTTCTTCTTGCTTATTTGCGGTCTGGATAATCATATATTAAATCATTGCCTTCAAAACTAGGAGGAATTTGCCTTGTGAAGCTAAGTATTTTCCAACAAAAACAACAATTCATTAAACTACATAGCCTCATTATCAAGTTTCACCTTGTTTCTTGTCTATTTTTTATTTCTTTTCCAGTTAGAAAATATTTCTAATTTTACTAGTATTACTCTCATTGTTTTGTCAGTAAAATAACCGTAAAGTTATGTTTGTTCGTTGATTTCGATTCTAAGCAATCAGTGTGTTCCATGTTTGTTTGTACCGGTTTTTGATAGTTTCGTTTGTATATTTTTCAGTTTATTGATTTTTGTACTCGAATTTCTGGTTTAACATCTAGGTAAATAAGGCATACACGCAGACTTGATAATTACTGTTCTCCTTGGTAGTACGTTGTTCACAACTTTATTGGTATAATTTGTAAGTTGTTCAACAGCGTTGTCAATTCCTATTTGATCAGAAAAATTACTTGTACTTGATGCTTTGAACAGACTGTTTTCTTTTTGTTTCGACTATTGAAAATGGGGAGGAAACTTGTTTTTGGAGATTGTTTTAGTTTTTTTTCTTTTTTTTGTGATTTTTTCTTCTCTTTTCTACGCAAAATCAGGTGTTACAATTAATTATTGGACTAGGTTGAGTGATATATCTTACTAAACCTTTTTCAGACGTAAATCGAATCACATTAAAAAATCTTTTTCAGTGCCGAGAAACACCAAACTCAAGTTTTTGATTTTCCGTTTTATTTTGAGCGAGTAAAGCGAGCGAGCAGATTTGCTTATGCTCAATTTAAAATTTAGACCACTTAGAAAAAAAATTTTATAATCAACTTAAATTTTACTTAATTAAAACTGACGTGTGGAATTTTAAACGCAATTTTAGAAATCAAAATTCAAAAAGTTTTCTGCAAAAACATGAAAAAGTTTGTTATTTTTTATGATATAATCTTCTTTTTCTAGTGAACGAAAATTGTTTTAAAAATTGCCTTTTTCTTATGATTGTCGAATGTGCATATTTCTAGCTTTTTGTTCAGATCCTTCTATCACAATATCTAGAAATAAAGATAGTAATTTATTTTTAGAAAAAAAGTTTGATTTGGTATTGGTTGGTAAAAACTTGTATTTGCAAAAATGTTTTGCTGAAATCTGTTGATACTTAGTTGTGATTTGTTATTTGGGTTTTTATTTGCTACAATGAGAATTTTTAAATTTTACTGAATTGCCGCACCTGATGACTTACTAAATTATTTGTTTTCCTTGACCATACTCAGATGCAACATCTGTAATATTTCTATAGATTGATTTAACTTTTGTTATTTTTGATCTTATATCAATTAAAACCTTAATTAACAACTTTTTCCAAATTTCTGTTGTTTTTAAAAGTTTCAAAGAGCTCAAGTTTTTTTCAAAAATTTTTGCTTACTTTAGTTTGGAATTTTGTACAAAACCATTAGCAAATGATTTTCGGAGTCTAGCAGGAGCTCAATACGCTTTCAGTTACAATTTGATCGTTTTCGCTTGTTAATTGCCTTGTTCTATCATATGTCAACTTTTTTCTGAAAAATGTCAACCTTTCTACGACGGTTGCGTCAATAGATTGATTCGAAATTTTGACAAAAAGCTAAAATAATTGCATTTGACACTTGTCGCGTTTCATGATCAACTTCCGCTCGATACACATAGAGAAGCAGCAGACGTTAAAGTATTAATGCCGAAGTTCGTACACTAGGTCGGCAACATACTAAAACAACAACGACAAATTGAAATACCAAATCATTTTTGGCAAATTTGACACATCCTAAAAATTATTCTCAAATTTGATCCTGCTTCTGCCGATGGAACTATCAGAATTGGTTTTTGATCTCGACGTGACGATGTTTTTAAACGAGTTCATTGACAAAATCAAGTCCCAAAATGACAATTTATTAAAAATTTATAAAGATTTTATACTATTTTACAGTGAATTTTTGATTCGGGAAGATTAAGATCTGACAGGGATTTGAACTTCTGGCCCTTGAAATCCCAGATTTTACTACTACATTATAAATCGATACCAGAAACTAAATACCGTTACATAATAAGTTGAGCTCTTTTTTGCACACATTTATTTTTGAACCAAAAACTTCTTACAGCAAAAAGTCAAGGTGTCGAAAAAACCTTACTCCCGATAAC